ATAGCTATGATGACTTTGGACTGGTGCTACACTAACGACAAAATCCAAACCTGTACATTGATTACTTTCAGGTTGTGCATTTCATTTTCTGCAGGCCAGTTGCAATAACAGGCATGAACAAATACAGCTCACGTAAGTTTCACTTAAAATCTTTTATCTTCTGATCTTGCTGGATCATATTCTTCAATGAACAGGTCAGATAAGTCTGAAAACTTGCGCTGTTTTCATAACCTTATCACAACTGTCCCCACTGTTTCCTTTCACCTTTGCAAGTTATATGATTCAGTACTACGTGGTTGATGTATTTGACATTGAGATGTCTGCACCTTGGGCAAAGAACAAATGGTAGACTTCTCATTTGCTTCAATATTCTTGCAGTGTTTCAAGAAGAGGGCACATCATGGGAAGAAATGCACGTGCTCTCATGCTCCTGAAGGCATTTGTTAATTGAGAGGCACTACACCATTTATGTGTGTCAGGCAGGCTTTTAGTCAATGCTGACCTCTTTCCATTCCCGAGGTGTTTGTTGTTAGGTTTTCTGGGGTGGTTTTTTTGGTGGGATTTTTTTTTTGGTTGTGTTTGGGTTTTTCGGTTGGTTGGGTTTTTTTAAGCAGTTTCCTGTTTCATAGTGGTTGTTCATAAGAGTAAAATGACCCTGTCAGCCATTCAGCATTTGGCATGGGGCACCAAAGCTTGATAGCAATGAACTTTTTAAGTCATTCTATCAAGTCTCACAATGATACTTGATATCGTTTTATTTAGACTAAATAAAACATGGTGTTAGAACCCTTTTCTTGGCTTCTCAGACACATCACCTGTACACCCTCATTCAGCTGACTGAAGCTGGGGAGGTGAGGACTAGAATGAAGATGAAGAATGGACAGGATTTGTGAAGTTATTCAGAATTGAGGGTGGGGTAGGGTTGGTTGTTGACTTTTATGTATCTACTTTTAAAATAAAAAGTGTTTATAAAAATGAGGGTTTTTTCTTTTTATTTAAAGAGAGAAAGCTGAATCTTTTGTTGCTGTTCGTGTTTGTGATGACTTCAGGGGCTTTTTCAGTGTCCAGCAGCTGCAGTACCAACTGATTAAAAAGATTTGTATGCTATGCAAATGTGACGTTTCAGCTACTTTAGTAATAACAGCTAAAGCTTCTCACTGCATGCAGCTGTACAATGTCACCTTTGTGTCCCTGCCCCCACTCTCTGTTTACAAGTCTATAAATTAAGAAAAAGAAAAAAAAAAACAACCCCTAACAGATTAGTTCTATAGCAGATACAGTGGATACTCCAGCAGGGATGAAAATCTTGCTCTTAATGAGGTTGAAACAGGAGTTTCTTTGTATATTTGGCAGATCATACATTAATGCACATCATCACATTATTCCATAATAACATGAGAAATAATTATTTCCTAATGAAAAGAAGTTATGAGTTGACATCTAGCTTACAGAGCATGGTTCTGTAACCTCTGCATTACAGTTTAGCTATTCTGCTTGCTCTGTTAGCATGTCTCCACTCGTTTCAGTGACTTTATGGTAATGCATTCACTTTAGTGCAACTACCACATCAATATAAATTAGTTGAGTCTGAAGAGGTCTGTATACAATGCCAAAACTAATCGTACTAACAGAAAGGAAAATACACAAAACATAGCCGTGCCTGTGTATGAGCACAGTGTTCTGCATGCAAAAGCATTATCGATTTGTACTTTCTTACTCCTCACACTCTGCATTTTGTGCAGAAAAGAACTTTCTTCCACCCCCTATCTACCTCCTACTTCCCAGCTAATATTAAAAGCAGAGACAGCTCTATAAAGAAATTATGTTGCTGAGGTCATTGCTTTTATAAAGTACTCACTAGCACTTTATGAAGTATGAAAAATGAAGTCGTTTAAAGTATTCTTGAATACAGATGGCATAAAATCCACACACCTTTTTTGCTTTCTACTCTGTTTCTTCTCCAATTTCTCCAAATTTTGAGGTGGAGGCATCTTCTTTTGCAGCCAGTCTACTCCACAGTGAGAACCCTCTAGTTCTTCTATTCCTGTTCCATAAAGTTATCTGTTTTCCTGGTGTTCTAAGTGTTGTTCTTTTCTCCATCCAGGTACTGCTATGTGGATATTTGTTAGCAATGACTGATGTGGAATCTACATATGCAGACTTTATTGCTTCAGGAAGAACAGGTAGAAGAAATGCGTTACATGACATACTCGTGTCCTCTCCGGGTGGGAACTCTAGTGAACTGGCCTTAAAGTTATCAGAGCTTGATATAAACAAAGCAGGTGAGTACCTTTTGGTCTTTCATTTATTTAATACTAAAATGAAATGAGTAGTACACAAAGCGTGGTTTATGTGCACGCATTACTCCCTTGTCCTTCAGCAACAAAAAATATTTTTTTTCTGATAATTGGAATATCAGCAGGGGTTGCCTGCAATAAGAAGCCTAGATTTCATAAATGGGAAGGGTAGTTACTTGAAAGTACAACGTATTACTGAAAAAAGAAGTCATTCTGCAGTGAGTGCCTAGTGGCAGAGTCCATGTCCAAGATAAATTTTATGGAAAATCAAGTATAAGGAAGAAAATAAGGAAGTCTTTATTAAAACTTAGCTCTTCATAATATCCTTTAATGGAAGCTCTTTGGTTTGAAGCCTGTAGGAGAAGCTGTGTGTCTGCTTGAAAGGTTATTGTGGAGACTAATTTTGTTTTCAGCTGCCAGAGGACAGAGCTATAGCAATGCATTGTTGTTTGTTTTAATTGGATCTTTGTTTCTGGGCGAATTTTCTCTTTCCCCTTTCTGCTGATCCTTTGTCCTCCTTTTAAGGTGATTAGCACTAATGCAATCCTAAATCTTACTTCACCTTTAATATTACCAAGATTTTTAGCTGGTTGTGCACCTTCAGTTGAGAGGAAGAAGGGACAGCATATAGTGAAGAGCCTTACGTTAAACAAAAATAGTAATACGGCTGTGTAATTATTTTTATGTTATGTGGGTGGGGGTTAATGAATGGATCTTACAGATATTTGAAAGCCCATTTCAGATCTTAGGAAAGAAGAGTTATGCTTATTTTAATAACAGCAGAAGAAAACAGATGCAGCAAAGAACAAACTGTTCGTAAGCAGCTGCCCTGCTTGTGCACATATTTTTCTCAGAGACAACAGGAGTTCTGAGAGGCAGGCTCATCACTGGACAATCAGATGTGGGCAGCGTAACATTTGGGTGGTTGTAGGGCTGTTTGGATTGGGGAGGGATTCTTTTTTTTGGCTTTCAGACTAATCTACATCCTAAGTCATTCCTTCTGCAGTTGCCAGTTTGGGGCCTTTAGCTTCTAGATGCATGCAATTCTAGCTGGGCAGGGCCTTTAGTTTTTTTCTATTTAAAAGAAAAGCTTTATTGGCATGTGTGTAGGTGTGTCTATTTATTTTAATATGGGGATCCGTGTAAAATGTTGGAAAAATATAAAGTAGGTGGCATTTGAAATGCATAATGCCAACCTTCTTTCTTGTTTTAATTTTCTTCAGTCTCAAATTTACACTTGCCAAAATTGTCTTTGATCTTGTCCATTTAGAAGACATAAACAATCACTATTTTTAAGTTAAGCTGGTGGAGTGATTGTAAGCCAGAACTGTGTTCTTTTGTGAGCTATAAAAAGAATGTGACTTTGTGCCTGTAATAGATGTTGGTATGCATTTTGTACATGTAGTTAGCTCCGTAGTGCTGAGAATGGTTTAAATAACTGTTAGCCTAATTTTTAATACATAATTCAGGAGTCTGTTTAGTTTTTCTTGGAGACCTCTTTTGCGGCTTGGGTAACTTAATCATTGCAGAAAAGTGTACAGAGTTGCTCATAAAATTACCTTAGGTAGTAGATACACAAAAATGCCTGCATACTTCTTTAGGAGGTTATGCAGTCTGAATTAGATACAACGAAAATATATTTAATTTTTTTATTATTAGTACACCCAGGTGCTGGATAAAAGCCTCCAAACCATAAATACTGGAAAATGCATTGTATTATCATTCATATGAGTATTAGTGTATTATCCTGTCACGTCTTTCCAAACCAAAGAGAGGGTAAAAAATATTTTGCATCCCAAATTCCAGTTCAGAATATACTAGTGCTTGTGGGGGATGCATATACGCATCACACTTGACAGGATTAAGAGGAAAACACATTTGGAGGTTATATCTTATTTCTTTCAAGGTGCATGTCAACCAGTTTATGCTAAGGACTACCTAATTATAAAAATATAGACATTAAGTTTGATTCTTTTTGTTTCTTTCTTTTATTGTTATTACAGCTATATGCATTTTCTTGCAAAAGTGCAAGTACATTTTCTTTCAACTGCATGGAGTAATGGCAGAGCATGATAATGCAGGTTAAAAAAAAAAAAAGAAGTTATTACAAAACCTATGTAAATTAAGTTACCCAAGCATATTTAGTACATTCACTTCAAAAAGCCTGCAGATACATTTCCTGTAAAGAACAGGAACAGCTTTGAGCAACACTAGGGAGTGAGGCCATGTACAAAGACCACACATTTATTGCCATGCACTATTTGATACTTGAAGTGAGCGGTGGTTAATCCCCTCATTGATGAGCCAACAACAGATAATCAAGAGTTTACCGCATAATTACATATAATACATGTAATTACTGTATAATACTCTCCCTTCAAAACAAATGTTCCAGTGTTCTTTGTCCATAAGCTAACAACCTGCTAATATCTATGGAATGGACATACTTACCAAACTTCAAAATACAGATTCTAAGTACTCAGTGGCAATGCATTTTATCTAAATTTAGTAAAAGCTGCATCCCAAATTCCAGTTCAGAATATACTAGTGCTTGTGGGGGATGCATATACGCATCACACTTGACAGGATTAAGAGGAAAACACATTTGGAGGTTATATCTTATTTCTTTCAAGGTGCATGTCAACCAGTTTATGCTAAGGACTACCTAATTATAAAAATATAGACATTAAGTTTGATTCTTTTTGTTTCTTTCTTTTATTGTTATTACAGCTATATGCATTTTCTTGCAAAAGTGCAAGTACATTTTCTTTCAACTGCATGGAGTAATGGCAGAGCATGATAATGCAGGTTAAAAAAAAAAAAAGAAGTTATTACAAAACCTATGTAAATTAAGTTACCCAAGCATATTTAGTACATTCACTTCAAAAAGCCTGCAGATACATTTCCTGTAAAGAACAGGAACAGCTTTGAGCAACACTAGGGAGTGAGGCCATGTACAAAGACCACACATTTATTGCCATGCACTATTTGATACTTGAAGTGAGCGGTGGTTAATCCCCTCATTGATGAGCCAACAACAGATAATCAAGAGTTTACCGCATAATTACATATAATACATGTAATTACTGTATAATACTCTCCCTTCAAAACAAATGTTCCAGTGTTCTTTGTCCATAAGCTAACAACCTGCTAATATCTATGGAATGGACATACTTACCAAACTTCAAAATACAGATTCTAAGTACTCAGTGGCAATGCATTTTATCTAATTTAGTAAAAGCAACACTGGGTACCTCTGGTAAGTAAAAAACCGCCACAGAAATCGTAAGACAGAAGGCAAAAGATTTTTAGTAGGGAAATCAGCAGGTAGCTCACCTCCCCAGCTCTCTCTCAAGGTAACCAATGCAATTCCAAGAAACTTTTTATTCAGTTCACTTTACAGGTGATCATAGCTAAATAAAGTAGTAAGGAAAAAGTACAATGAATAACAAGGACCAGTCTCTGCAAGTCTAATGTCTAAAACAAACAGCTGGTTTTCTAGGTGTCTGCAGATATATCACAGAGCACTAATTCAGTGCAGAAGTGGGAAGGAGACTTCCTTGTAAAAGTTGTAGTGGTCCAACCATCTACAAAAAAATGGGGCTAGTAGAGGCATCGAAGTCATACAGAACAGGAATGAAGGACTGATTGTAGAAATTCGCGATGAAAAGTGATTTTAGTTCATGGTAGGAATGTTTTAGGTGTAAGCTTTGGGAACACTGATAGACATTGAAGAATCAGTAATGTTACAGGAAGAAAAATGAGTTGAAAGCTGCACATTAGCAGAACCTGTGACTGTTGCTAGCTTACCAACTCGCACAACTGTATTATCGTTTACAGTATCATATTATTTGGTTTGGGGTTTTTTAATACTGGCTATTGGTTTCGAAATGCTGTGTAAGAATTGCAGCTCTTAAGAGCTTCTAGCTATCATATTTTTAAGGAACAACAGTTTAAGAGTGTGCTTAGGCGATTTTGGGATTCTTGGAATATAGAAGCGAAGTAATTCCATAAACAGATTTGAAGGCCTTTGGTAGGAGAGCTCTGCAGCAGAAAGACAAAGTCTGTAGTACCAAGACAGTGTATTATAAATTAAATAGATTTAGACTAGTGAGTTTTTTCAGGGAGTTGAGGAAAACTTTTAAGAAGTGGTATACTAGAACCTTAGTGCTCTTTCTCTGAATCTTTGTGCACTGTGTTTAATATTTAGGTAGTGAAATGTTTGAGCTTTGTGTCTAGGATGATTTTTGTTTTAAGCACAAATACCTTGCGAGGTTTTTTCTCTCTTTGGTTTTGTCTTTTTTTTTTTTTTTTTTTTTTTTTTTTTTTTTTTTTTTTGTCTTTAAATAAGAATTCTTTCAGGAACGTTTGACTTCCCCAGATAGTATGAGGGATATTAAAGACATCCTAGTAGTCAGAATAAATGGAGTAAAGAGCAGGCAAAAAAAAAGGAATAATAAAAAAGTTAGATTCCACTCACCTGGACTTTGCAGTATCAGAACAAATGTAGGAGGCTTTGTAGAAAGTGTTTGGATAACTTAGGCAAAAGCGATTTCTGTCCCATAGGAAATAATTCCATGTAAATCCATCCTGATAGAATCCTTTGTAATGTGGGAGATAAAACTGAGAAATAGAGTTTTCTGAGAAAGTGCCTTGCAAAAAAAATTAATTTATTACTCAACCCATAGTGAACAGAACAAACTCACCATTTAATAGGTTAATTAGCCTTCCATACAACTTTCCATCAGGTTGAATTTGATAATTACCCATGCCCTCTGAGGCATTTTGCCACCTAAATACTCAGTGCATGCACAAAACACAGCTACCACGTCTGAGTTCTTTGCAATACAAAGAACTTTTTTTTCCATTAGAAATATATGCCATTTCTTCCATACAGTTTATGGCACTTATTTCTGTAAACAGAAATAAAGTTGCAGATGTACAGTGTGATTTGAAATGAGGAAGCAATAAGTATCTGTATTGAGAACTCTGCCTTTATTCTAATGATCTACAGATTAAAGTTAAGGGGCACTACTACCTCTACTTAGACATCTTTACAGCTTAGCCCATGGAATTTTCTTCTCTTAACTGCTCTGTCAAACCAGTTCAATACAGATTACTCAGAATCCTTACAAGATACAGGAGACAACTTATGTCTTAACATTATTCTTTACCTAACATTATTCCTTATTATGTACGTAGAGCTAATTAGTCCAGTGTTAGGGGCTTCTGTCTTACTTGCACTTAGCTTCCAGCGGTCTGAACTTGTTAGGTCTGTAATCATTAGGTGAAACACAATACTTTGCATATAGATACTAATAGACCATTGTCAATGCACTACTTAGCCTTCTTTAGACGGGCTTTATGAGCTGTCTGCTTACTGTGCCCCTGTAAGGTGTTTTCTGTTCCAAAGATTGTTCTGTGGCTTGCAGCGAGACAGCTGGACTGGACGCCGTGGGGCACGGTACTGAAAATGGATGCACAAAACAAACACAGTTCTAACAAACTATTGCTTTTATTGACATTACAACTCCTTATAGTAAACTCTGTTCAGACTCGGTGTAATGAGTTTTTTTTCACGTATATTGTCACAGTGAATAAATTGTCAAATATACCCTACTAGTTTTGTTAAATTCTTTCCTTTCTAGCTACTTTAGGTCTGTACTTAAAATGATAGTGGTGTTTGCGGCTGGGAATTTGTTTTTGAAGGTGCCTCTTGAGATGCAAAGTATGGCTATCTTAGTAGTAAAAGTTTTCATATTCAATGCAAGATTTCAGTTTCAATTTCTTTTTGCTTTGTTTTTGAGACTGGTGGATGAACAGTTGGGATTCTGGGAGCAAGACCTTTTTGGTGTAGGGTGGATCACTTGTCCTTTTCTTGTCTGTTATAGAAGGAGAAGGAGATGCACAACGAAATCCAAGTGAGCAAACCGGGGAGGCCCAAGGAGAGGCAGCAAAGCAAGAAAGCTGACATCCGACTTTGACCGACTGGAGCAGCTGCTGGATGTTTTCAGACTACAGGAGCATGCTGGAACAAATTTGTTTCCATGAGCAAGCTGGTGGAAAAGAAAGTGCATGTGTCTTCACTGCTGGAACCCACTCAACACAACGCTAAAAATGGGGGTACAAGCTGTGGCAGAAGACAGAATTTTCTCTACCTCTGTCATTAGCAATGGTTGAACGTGTATTGATTTTTTTGGGATAGTGTCATCAGATGGATCCCTTCATAATGACTACTTGATGGGAACACTTTTAGAAAGTAGAACAGGTAAAACTTGTAGCAAACGGCCTTTGAAACGTCAGAGGATCTAATTGTGTATCTTAAGAAAAGGCTTGTGTGATCCTCAGAGTTTAAAATTCTCTGGCCAAAGTGTTCACCCATTGAAAGAACTGTAAAGAAAGCACTGTTTTTAGAACTTTGCATCTGTTTTACAGCTCTGTTATTTACAATGGTTTTTGTATTGTACGACTTAGATGCTCCACACTGCCCCTTCTCAACTGCTTATGAAGAATATTTCTGTTACTGTGAATTTTTCTACCACGCGTTTTGAAAGGGCTGGATTTTTGCATAATGTGGTGATGTGCACATGATAGATTTAAAATGTCAACCGCTAAATTGATTATGCCTAAATCTAAATGACTCAGCAACACTCTAATTTGTTACTAGATGAGCCTTCAAAACGATTTGTTAATGTGAATACTTCAGCGTGTTTTGTGTCCTTGGTACAGTTTTGCCACTTGCCTGTAGTTAGTTGCATATCAGAGACTCAAATTGAATCTTTTATGTTACTCTTCCCCATTTTTCTAATTTTACACCCAATTTCTTAATCTTTCGCTGAGATATTTTTTTAAAATGTTAGTCCAAGTATTTTATTGTTATGGTAGTTTTAAGAATACAATTATACCCTTATATGGGTTAAAATTCAGACAAATTCCGTGGTGCTAGAGATTTTCCTGGTTCACATTGTTAAAGATGGGCCTTTGTTTACACACGGGAGAATAACTGGCACAGGTTATTGCCAATTACGTATTCTGGAATGAGTTTTAGATTGCAGGATAGTCCAACTAGTGGATCATGGGCTGGATGCAGCCAGGGGGACTATTTTTTCTATTCCTTGCCTTTGCCCCAGTTGATCAGGCTGTTGAGTTTGCACAGCCAGTGGCCTGTCGCTGAGGCACCAGGTCCAGCCAAGTGCTAGAAGCTGCCCTAGCAGCCTTTTGGCTAGGATGTGGAGAGGGAAGTGAGAAACTTGGCATCTAGCACCCAAAAGACTGTATTTTTCCCATTTCAGTTTTTCCAAAATAACAGTCCAAACTGGACCTTCATTGAAATACCAGGACAGCTTGTCCTTCCAGAGGATTACTTAAAGTGTCTACAAATTAATAACCCATTCTGCAGTAGCTATGCTGACTGATTTCCTCCCCCCCCCCCCCCCCCCATCCCACCCCAATAGACAAGGCCATACATGAGGCCAAATACTGCAAAATGGGGCAGCCACACCGCTGTGTGACTAAGGTGAGTAAAGAGAGTGACTGACTAGTAAACCATGGCAATCACATAAGCACCAATCACAAAGTCAGAAGATTTGTTTTCTTTTATTAACAGGAGGTGATGTCACTTTCTTTATATATAGTATATATATTATATATATTTTTGTGTTGTTGTTGGTTTCAAATGTTATGCACTTTTTACTGTTTGTAAACTTTTACTAATGAATAGTGTGATTGCTTCCTGAATATATTAATCATCAGTTAACAAAACATCTTTGTGGCCACAGCTGTTTGTTTCTACCATATGTATCATAGTACTTGTCACCTGAAATTCTTTTGTGAGATGTGTGGAGAAAAAAAAAACCCACTTCTGATCAGTATTATGAGCTCATTTATTAGTGTTAATAAAAAACAAGCCAGCAGAATGCTTGTGGCTCATTAGTGTAATATTAACTCTCACCTTTTATGGTTTGGAAGCTGAATGCCTCGCTGTCTTATTAGCTCTCAAATGCCCATCTTCTTGGTAACAGAAGTAGTCCATTTGCTTTGAAAATAGTTACCCTTAAACTAATTATTTATTCATTTCACATGGTGTTCCTTTCAATGTTAACACATTATTATTGAATTTTTTTTTTAATTATTAAAAAATTATTGCTCCTCCCCTTGCTTTTGCATCAGGTCTTCAAGCTGAACTGGTTGCCCCTTTGTCATGGACTAGTTACTGTCAATCTAGCATAAACACCAGAAGGAAATAAGATTCTAGGGCTTTTTATAGTGCTACTTTATTGATGATCCATGAAACACCATCAATAAAATGTCGTGGAAAAAGGTAATAAGTAATTACAGTAAAGTGTTGGTTTTCCTTATTTTCCTTCAGTGCTTTTCTTTACTTCGGTACACTTCTTATTCTTCTGCGTTGTGAAATAAAATTAATTTCAGCCTTTCCTCTCTATTTTGTACATGTTTCTTCTATTTATCCTCTTGTTTTCTTTTGTTTTTAAAACAATTATGGAGGCATTTGCTGGTTTTCAAAACACATCTCTTTGTGATGGAAAATTGTGCTGTTAATTTTAGCGGAGTAGAAGACCGTTTATGTTCCTCATCCCCCCCCAAAATGTATGAGTGCTTGCTTTATCACATAAACTCCGCTCACTCTCTTTGTTTGGGGTGTTTCTGTTGCATCTATAAGCAGGCCTCACTTTATGTAAACATGTGGTTAGTCTGTGCCAAATCACAGCAACGTATCTCAAGTATTACTATTACCCAAGCAATTACAAAAGAGCTAGTTCAAGTATAGTCACACCTTTATATCGGTGTAACTGCATCATGTAACAGGGGCACTGATGGCAGAGTTGGACTTCAACTGGCTTGTTTTTTCCCTTGCTCGTTCTCTTTTTCAGTAAGCCTATCACTCTGGCTTCTGTTCCAGAATCTTCTTTATATTTTGTTGTTCTCATTATAGGTAAAACGTTTAAATGTTTGTTTAATCCAGGATTACCTTAGAAAAATCTCTCCCAAAAGCTATATAACTCAGCGAAGTTAGGTCTGGACTTAATAGAATACTGCTGAAAGGTTTGGTTTTGGCGGGGTTTTTTGTTTGGTTTACTGTCTCTTTAGTTGGATGTTTTTCAGTGCTTCTTTCACCCTGCCAGCCCTGTCACTTCAGAAAATAGTCTATGTACTCATGTTCTTGTTGCCCGTAATAAAGTCTATGACTGTGCTCGCAAGCATTGCACTTGCAGGGATTAGATTCTCCATCCACTTGAAACACTTGAATATAGAACTAGAATTGGACGGAGATACCGGCATTTCTTTCTTCTGCTTATTTCTACTGATGTTGTCCGTGTGCTTCGAAAAGTTTCTATTAAGACAAGAATCAAGCATGCACGCACCATTATTTCACCAAACTATCATTTTAAGCCAAAAGTTCACTATGACCTTCCATACAACAATTATTAAATAAAAACGAAAAAACGTTAGTATACCTGCTACTCGTCCCTGCTCTTTCCTTGCCATGTTTTTTTCCACAATTCTAAAGTGGGGAAAAGTGTGTCCTGGTATGAGTGACAGGTCCTGAGCAGTTAGCTTTCATGCAAATGGATAATGAAATTATCTGGTGCCCAGAAGGAGGGGAGCGACTACCAAAGTGGTTAAGCTGGAACTTCTACAATATGAATGCCTTCCTCAGCTACACAGTGAAGAATTCCAGGTGTGTTTAATGTTTATATTTTATGTTTCAGAAACATCAGTGAATTTTTTTACAAAGGAAAGACTGAGAGCTGCTGTTGAGACTGAGCACAGTAATGTAACTTTGAGATAGATAGCTTACCTTACCTCAGCAGTATTCCTATGTTAAACTGTGGGATTTTTGCCCTGACCTGTTTTGCTCTGCCTCTCTTCCTGGCTGGTTTATTTTCCGTCCTGTGCTTCCCTCATGTAAAATAATACTGTAGAAATATATGGATATGGAGTGCTGTATTGGATTTTCTGTATATTTAACTGGCTAAGGTCTTGTAGTGGAAAGGTGGTTTCTTTTCATCTTTTTGATCAATGGGGGGGGATCTGCTTCACAGCTCTCGGCACGAGAGAAGGAGTAGAGCCAGGAAGTAAGTGTGTGAATTCAAGAAGATAGGCCAGCAATATAAGGAGGGTATCTTTTCTTAATAGTAAGGCAGGTGGAGCCCAATGCAGAAAATAGCTTCCTCCATCATATGCTGGACAGTCAGGATGTGCTGGTCTTAGCTAAAAAGAAGATAAATTTTTCAACTTGGGTGATATTTTGACTTCAGAACCAACTTCGGGTTTTCAACAGTGCTCTAGAACAGAAGCATTCGCAAATCTGTGGCCCTTATTCAATGAGAATCACCAGTTTCTAATGAAAGAGAATGAGACGTTTCATAGATAACTTAGAATACAGGATACTCTCTGAAAAGCAGAAACTTAACAGCTTGGAAAATGATAGAAATCAAGGTAGCA